GTGTCGGCAGTTCTCCACTGGTTGTTTTTTAGATAAATAGTGTTATCTGTGGCGCTGACTGAGCTGTCGCCTGATGCCATGCAGAGGTTGAGGCCTCCCAGGACGTAGAGGATGCTGTGGATGCAGACGTACGCAGCTCTGTAGAGTCTCAGAGGCAGCTTGGCCAACCACTGCCAGCGGTGAGTCCTTTCGTCGTAGAGCAACGCTTCTCTGGACGTTTGTTCGTTGTTCTTCCGTCCGCCGACCACCACCAGTGTTTCCCTGCAGGTGTACCTGCGCGGTGTGGTCCAAAGTGGCTTGAGTTCCCGACTGCACTTGGTGCTGACTGTCAGCATGAGGCGACGGACTGACTCGATGATCTCAGTGCAAAGTGTGGACGACTGGACCAAGGGGTCATTGGCGATGAACTGGAAGAGGTAGGTTGGGTGAATGTAGCGCAGACGGACTTTCTTGAAGAGGTCATGGATGGCCCCACTTCTCGAGAATGGGTCATGGTGGATCCAGGCCAGGAGGGTCTCAAACACTTGCTCCTCCTCAGCACATAGACGATCATCTTCTAGGTAACACATGAGCTCAGGGAGAGACAGCTCACAGAAGTCCTCCGAGGCAGCGACGTCAGAGAAACACCTGACGGCCATCTCCTTTGCTTTGTCCCTCAAACTGTCACAGTGCAGGATCTCAGAGAGCCTGATCATGCTCAGACAGTTTTCTGGACTCAACTGCTCCTGCAGAAACAAGGAGCAGGCTTCGAACAGCACCCCGTAGTGAAGCATGGATGCTGCCTGCATCAGCGGGAGCACAATCTCCATTGTGATGCTGATGCGGCCTGTGTAGACATAATCCACAATGCCTCTCATGACCGTTGAAGAGATTCCCTTCAGGTTCACACGGGTCTGAGTGCTCTCCAGGAAGTTGCTGCAGAACATGGCACGAAAGTACGGGCTGCTAGACACCAGCACGTTCCTGTGGCAGGGGATCTCCTGATGCTCCGCACAGAGGAGGACGTCTGTCAGGATCCGCTCCTGACGGAGAATGTTCAGCTGAGCGAGCAAGTTACAGTGAAGTTCGGAGTCTTTAAAGGAGAAAACCTCACCAGGGGCCATTCTGTATAAATGAGATCAATCAGAAACACTAAGGTGAGTACTGTGACTGTGACTGTGGGGAAATTAGATGTAAATCCGACTTTCAATTTCTAACCATGTGAGTAACTTTCATGAATTTCCTCAAATACAATTTGAATTACTCTAGGGAATTACTGTGATGGTTGTTGAATATCGACAAGTACTCAAATGAAAGTACTCACCCCTGCACTCCTGATGCCGATCTGTGTCAAACAAACAACCTATTTTCTGTGTTATATTATAATAGGTTTGTGACACTGGGTCATTTCCTCGGGCTGTTAGCAACACTCAGCCTATTAATCACTCCCAAGACAGACACTGATTTGCTCTCACTTGTGGGTCAAGCCTGTCTGATATTTTCAGACCGCTAATCATTATTGTATACACTGAAATGCCAACGAGTGACATTTGTCCACACTCAGTTTACTCTCAGGGTCTGTTGTAAAACTACAACCTGTGACAAACTGCATAGTTACGAGACATCTGATGTATTTTGAAACCATTTTTAGATCATTGTAGAACACTGTTCTGGTAGGTACTTGTCTATATATTCTAGAGAGTGTCCAGAAGCCAAACAAAGCTTTTTACGGTGATATAATCACAGAGCCCTTTGAAGATTATGCAGATTAAGGTCTTACAGACATTATTGTTTACAGATACAATTTTAAATTCTCTCTACCTGTCAAATATCCATGGAGAAAATTAATAACGATAGTCCTGTATCTAATATTTCAGAATACTTATAAGCTCTGAGGAACCTCATCTGCAACATCTGTAACATTGAAATCCTACCTTTTCCCCTCGGATGGTTCACAATATCCAAAATATTTGACCCCTCTGGTATGGAAAAATGTTCGTTTTAATCAGAGGAGAACCCAAACATAGTCCAGAGAGAAGGTGTGGTGTGTTGTCAGGCAGTGACACACAAAAACGACATGGCTCTTTAGTTAGGCACTGTGGGACTCATCGTGAAACCGTTGTGTACATTCCTGCACCTAAGAATAGTATCCTGGGCCACAGTGACTTCAGTTCGTCTTCTCATGTGACACAGAACTGTTTGGAACCCAGTTGCCGGCTTAACAGCTTCACCAGGGTCCAGTGAAGGAAGTGCTTATTTATAATAGCCCCTGGAGGGAGAACCATCACTGGGTCCTGGGTCCATCCAAAGCCTTTAGGTCTAATCACTGCGTCCCCAGGCTATTTCCCATATGTAGCTTTTTGTTTTGTTAAAGTGAGAACTATGAGAACATATTTTGGTTTATTATATATAAAATTAAAGTTTAAGGTAAATGTGGAGTGAAGATGATGGTACAGTATCTCATGGTCACACCTGATATATTTATTTTCTGTTTTCTATTATTTTTCTGTACTATTACTATTCCTATGTTTCTACTTAACCACTACATCTATTTATACTACTAACATAATAGTAATAATAATAATAATAATAATGTATGTAATACATTGTTATGTTATATGTTATTTTTTCTATCTTGATATACCACCTGCCACGACTTCCATTCACATCCACTGTCAACTCCTTGGCAGGAAGTGACGACAGCGGCCACGAGCGTGACGAACGGCGCGTTCGAAAATACAACAAGGAAGTGGTCGTTTATTGTGAAGGTAAATAGCCAGCGGAGATAAACGCCTCTTTATTCCGCTGTGTGGACCGGCTTCGCTCGCTTGTCGGGTGTGAAGGCTGGTTGAAGTTAGCGCGGACTCGGCCTGGAGCCCGTTTGTGTTCTTATCGAGGATTTCTGCTCGCAGGCAGCTAGCTAGCTAGCTATGAACACGGACGTGGAATTTCACATCAGGCAGAATTATCCGTGGAACAAGCTTCCCGCTAATGTCAAACAGGTACTGGACATTAACTGCTCTTCGGGTCGGGAATTTAACTGTGCAGTGTATGGTTGGAGCCGGTGTCATTGTGTGTTTGTGTTTATGTAGCGCTGTCAATGTCACCGCTGTCTTTTTCCCTCTGCAGCGGTGTCTCCATTCACACACAGCCATATGTGACCATTAGTGTCCAACCTCCGCTTTATCCACACTCACGTCACATGACACACGGACAGTCAAGTCCCACTTACTGTGCACTGCACTGTTAAAATCCAGTTATATTACTACAGTAACACTATGTCATATGAGGGCTTATATAACCGCAGACTGAGCCCTGTCCTGTTTTCTAACTCAATGACATTGTTTTATCGACAATGGTTTTCATTGTTCATGCTAAATGTGTTGCTATATGTACGAGCTAGTGTGTTCTGGAATTCCCTCAACAAGATAAATGAGTTAGAGAGAAACATCCCTCTGCCTCCAGACAACCATCCTTCTTGTTTAGCTTCCAACACACACATCTACCTTCCAGTCTTTATGCATATCTCCATAATTATCTAGCTACCTGCCTACATTTCTAGAAACCTACCCAGCTGCCCAATTATCTGCTAACATTCCTACTTTACTTACTTTTGTCCTAGCACTCTACCTGACATTCTTACATTCGCCTGCCTACCTACCGAGCTACTGCCCATCCTACCAACAGTAAAAGTGCCCAGGTGTCCCAGCTTCTCAACAGTCTACTTACAAACTATCTCTCTACTAACTGCTTGGCCACCAAACTACCTAGAACAGGCATGGGCAAACTACGGCCCAGGGGCCGGATGTGGCCTGTTCAGGGTCTTAATCTGGCCCGCCAAACTTTTCCAAATTATATAATTTATTTATATTATCATTATTCGTCTGCCTTTTTTCTGCAACACCCACATTCCCCAATAGATGGCGTAAAAATGCAGAAAGCATTTTAGCCTTTGTGCATGACTTTTACATGTCATTTATGTTAGTTCACACAAACTCCATCTATCTGCTCCTGACCTGACCCCTCTGTTAAATTTTAGGACCCACTGTGGCCTGCGAAAGTTTGCCCACGCCTGACCTAGAACCTTCTACAAAATGACTTACCATCTCACCTGCCAGTTTGATCTACCTGACCTACCTTTATACCTACCTGACAAGTCATCTTTCCACCTATCTAGCCGTCTGTCATCTTACCTGCCTCACTTTCTGTTTCTAAATGTTCAACCCAGATCTCCAAAAACTTGTTGGACTCTTCTCAGGGGAACAATCCTGGAGTAAATCCTCAGTGAATGGACAGAACATCAGTATTCTACAGTAAACTAATTAATATTACTGTATAATGATTTTTTTCTGCTCAAGATTTATAATCAGAATATTTGATGTCCTACATTAATTTAATTAGATTAGTCCAGACTAACTAATTGTACCAATTCCTGTTTTTGCAGGGAAGATTCTGTAACATTACATTACCCCAGTGTAGTGCAGTGTAGGTGGAAAGGGAAACTGTTATTGACCCATTTGCATCCCAGCAGGTAACTCCAGCAGGTGACATCATTGTTGTAACTGTTTGTCTCCTCTGCAGAGTTTGGGGAACTCTCAGCGTGAATATGAGAAGCATGTGCTGCTGTACAGCATCCGCAACCAACTTCGCTTCCGCAATAACCTAGGTACGCATGTATAACTGTCATGAACACACACATACTGCACAGCACTACTGTGGGAAGCTGCGTGTGACGGCATGTGGGGCAAATAATTCCTGTTTGGTCAAACATTTACAACATATAATGTACAACGGTCCTGTGATAAACCCTGATATAAACACATACAGTAAATGTAATTATACTGTGCTCACTTTGTTTGTTTCACATAAAAAGAAAAAAAATGAGCAGCCTGATGTTCATTTTGTAGCCACCATACACTCACTTGTTCTGTTCTCACACATTTTATCACTAGTACTCAATTGTATTGCAGTTCCCTGGCACATACTTTACTCCTAAGCACTACCGATTTATAAGCAGAGAATAATTTAGCACAAATCATTCAACTTTTAAAGTAGAGCTACTAGAGTCCAAGATGTGGACCACTAAAATGGAACGCCACTGAAAATGATATGAATTAATTTGAGCAAAGTTTAATTCAGTTCAATTCTTTCATTTCCCCCTTATTTTGCATCAATCTGTAATGATACACATTTCCTTTGATTTTTATTGTTATGTTATTTCCTTTATTTGATGAATAACTAAGGGTCTACCTAAAATTCAGCTGATATTTAAAGCACAGCTCTGAATGTGTCGACGTAGTCTTATCTGTAGAACGAGGGCGCTGCAGAAGAGGTTTGGAAACCACTGGTCAGATCAGATCAATGATAACCATTTTAACTGGGATTGATTCGGTGTCGACTGGATGACTCTCCTCCTGTCCTTTGTCTTGACCGCTGCCTGTGTTTTCTAATCAGTGCGCCACGTGAGAAAGGACGAGCGCAGGTATTATGAGGAGCTGCTAAAGTACAGCCGGGACCACCTGATGCTGTACCCCTACCACCTGTCTGACATCATGGTCAAAGGGCTGAGAGTCACTCCCTTCTCGTATTACATAGGAATAATGGAGGTAAGAGACTGAGTGCTGCTCTGGAGAAGAGAACTGTGAGGATGTCTGTTCTGTTCTGTTCTGTTCTGGCTCATCATGATCTCCATTAGCAGGGTCATACCCTGGTGTTCATCCATCCTTGTGCTCTCATAGTGTGAGAGCCTCCACTGGGTCATTGTCTGTGACAATAACACTGGTGATTTCCTACTTTCATTTGCTCTTTTGAGAACAAAAGAGAGAGAACGCTCAAAGGAACAAGGCAGACATTCTGTCAGTGCTGCGGCAGAGATTTTCTAATTGGTTTGGAAACAGCCAGTCTCTGTTCATTTAAGCTGAACAATGTCCCCAGCTTTGTAATCCTAAACAGCGGCAGAGGCAGTTTGACACAAAACAAGTAATCCAAGAAATGAGTTTGAGGAGAAGGATGAAAGCGTATACAGCCGTGGGCTTTCATACAGACTGGATTGTTTGTTACTCCAGGTTTGGTAATATGATCCATCATAACGGTTCTCATCTGACTCGCTATAAGATTTCATCTGGAGTAGGTCTACATTCCATACGCAAAGTAGGACCATTGTATAATCAATACATATTTACACTGATGTACATTAGTCGTCAGCAGCAACGTGTGTTTTTTCACTTTAAAATACTTGTTAGTCTCTAAGTAAAACTTAAGTATTTGTGAGCAGATGGAAGTTACACATCTATTCTGTTGTACATTTAGAAGCACTTTATTCAAGAAGAAGAATATACAAGATGAACCTGTTTGACAGCCGTGTCACTAATTAGGTGTTTTTATATGCGCTGTTAATTACAACCAGTGGTAAAATATGAATAAGAAAATGACGAAATGTTTTGCTGTGTGATCTTTCTGTATTATTGTCGCACGTTAATTGTCTTTGCATCAGTCTGTCACTAGGTGTCAGTCAATGTCAACTGAAGCCTCTGTACAACCGCCGCGAGAAGTACTCGCAAAGGAAATACATCAACATTACATCACTTTTAGGTCGTGTTTCTGCAGGATGTGGCTCCTGGAATTTGATTCTTCTTCTTCTCTTTATTATTTTTGTAAACAGACTTCAGTACTAACATGACTGGAGACACAACGAGAGCCTCCATTTCAGATTCCAGTTGACTTGGCTTTAACTGTAGCCACCGAATGCTCTGATAAATTCACAGAGAGTCTGTTCACCCTGTTAATAATCTGAGCCCCTGGCTGTGAGATGATGAAGGAAGGAAAAGAAAATGAATTCATCTCTTCTTCTCTCCTTTCTGTTCTGACTCCTCCAGGACATTATGAACAGTGAGAAGAGTTACGACTCCTTACCCAACTTCACTGCTGCTGACTGTAAGTGTCCCTGTTGTCCTTTCTGCCTCTTATTGTTGATATTACTCTGCTGCAGCTGTGCACCCTCAGACAGACATTCTCTCTACATCATTTTCCACATACTTATAAACACAAAGTATGTTCCCCAAAAGAGTGTCACACTTACTGAAACTCAAATAAAAAAAGAAAATGCTTCAAGATCAAAATAAGCCTTTAATGTTGAACAGTAAAATTGAAAAGTGAAATAACAAGGACAAGCCTTCATTAACATGAATTAACAGGTACTTTGTTTTAACAAATACAATACAGTACATTAGCCTGTGCAGACTTAAGCGTTTTTTGAGTTTTTGTATGTTTTAGAAAGTGCACTACATTTTTGCTTCCTACTTGCTTTGAATAACAGATCACAAAAAAAATCACATTTTCTTCATCAGTCCATCCTCACATTTCCACACCAACATAATTTTCCTCCGAGCAATAACCCAGTGATATTGGCAGACCTTTTTATGAAGAGCCAGGTCGCTACATCAGCCCCATGCCTTCTGATGATTCCACTACAGATGTGTCTTTTCAAAGGCTCATAGTTAGAAGTAAGTGCAGCTTCAGCATCATCTGACACACTTGTGTCAGATGACACCGGCTTTGTGTCAGTATTTGAGAGCCTTCCTCTCAGCAGAACAGGACAGAAGGCTGCCAGCAGGAGCCGTCCTCATGGGAGCCACTCTATTCTGCTCCTCCCTGGAGGAGCTTTGGATGTGTGTTATGCACAAGTGGGCGGTTGGAGAGACAGTAAAAAAAAATGTGTGTGAGATAGAGTTATCGCGTGGGCGAATGTTTGTTGTGTCTGTGTCTGGGTGAGACAGCAGAATAGGATGTGTGGGATTCTGCTGTGTGAGGAGGCTGCAGTGAAAACGTCCCCTGTTGGTGTCTGTCTGCATTGGCAGCCATCCCAGAATATTCAGCCTGGGATGAATTTGCAGACCTCTGCTCTCATCTTTATTATGACCCAGAGTTTTCCGAGATGCAGGATTTAAATGCTAATTTAATTACAGGTCAAATGTATACAGACACTCTGATTATTCCAAAGCCCCGTGTGTTTACAACAGTGGATCAGCGGTGTGTGTGTGTGTGTGTAGAGTCCAGACAGTGTGCAAGTGCAGAAATGCTGTTGGTAGAATTTGGATGAGTCACTGCAACTTCTTAAGAAACTCCTTCCCTTTTTTTCGAAACAACTTTCCAATATAAAGTTGGAACATTTTCAAACTTTACTTGTTGATGTATTTTTTTGTCAGGCGTCTGGGGCTTTAGGTGGAAACACTTTTTGCAGCTGTGCTTCTGCTAAATGTCTCTGCTGTGAGGTGAAGGTGCAACAGAGAGTTTCCACTGAGCTTCTCCTTCCTTCACAGGTCTGAGGCTGCTGGGCATCGGGAGAAACCAGTACATTGACCTGATGAACCAATGCAGGTCGTCCAAAGTAAGGAATGTCTCCCTCCAGTTCCTGTTTCTTTGTTCCAGTGGGGTCTATTATTGTTACCGGTTCACCACTGACTTCTTGACTTAATTTGTCTTCTTACCTTCCCAGAAATTCTTCCGCAGGAAATCAGCACGGGATCTGCTCCCAGCAAAACCAGTGGAAATCTCTGTGGAGCCGTGGTGGGTCGCTCAGACAGGCTACATCACTGAAGACGACATCAGGGTGAGGAGAGATCTGCTCTGACACTTTATTTAATACACACAGTCACAAAGTTTGTCATTGGGTCTCAGATACTGATAAATGTGGAATATTAACTCATGAAGGACATCTGATAAAAACAGAGTCACGGTTTTTTCTTTTTTTCTTGACTTATTACAGATCTGTTCTCCAGCTGAGAAGAAAGCCATCGATAAGATGATAGACTCTGGTCCCCAGCTGGCTGGATCAATGGAGTACAATGTCGTCTTAAGTGAGTCTACGTGACTTTTATGAGAACACAACTTAAAACTTAAAAAACTGCAACCACACCGCTGCTACTTTCACTCATTATGCTAATACATCTGTAGGTTATAACTTAGATAATGTTTGATAATCAGCTTAATGAAAATTCTAGGTCTGGTCTTTTTAGCTGACATTTGAACGCAGAGACAGATATCAATGTCTCAGTCAAAGGTCCTGGATCGGAGCGCTGCTGTGAATTTAAAGAGTGGGAGCAGAGGCAGTAAAGTTGGGCTGGTGCACTTTGGATGTTAATTAGAGAAAAGTCTTGACAGTGGTGAGCCTCTGACACCAGAGAGTCTGTGAATGAGTGAGAATTTGATTAAATACCAAGGGGTGATTTGAATACAAGTAGCTGCTTTAAGACTTTTTATTCACCTCAGAAAAGTCCATAAAGTTGTTTCTGTTTTGTCTGTGTTACAACAGAGAATTATGTTCTCACTGCTGTCGTATACCTGCTGTGCTTTTATTACAGGCCTCTACAACAGGGGCTTCATCTACCTGGACGTCCCCATATCTGACGACAGCTGCATCTCAGGTGTGTGTGGGCTCCCAGTATAGCTATACTTGTAGGGACTAAATTCCATTTTTGTGGGGACACTTGGACTATTAATAATACAAACAGTACAACTATTTCTACAATAGCCAAAAAGAAAGACTAACGACTGTCATCCATTTTTTAATAATCTGATTGTGTGTGTTTTTGTTCCCTCAGTACCACCACTGGAAGGTTTCGTCATGAACCGTGTCCAGGGCGATTACTTTGAAACTCTTCTCTACAAAATCTTTGTCTCCATTGACGAGCAGACAAATGTATCAGAGGTGAGTTTTGAACACTTCACCTCTGAGCTCAGTGAATGGGACAAAAGAATGGACTGTTGTTGTTGACTGATGACATGATTAACTATTGTTTCTTTCTTTATTCCTACTCCTGCTCCTCTGTTGTCTCTCAGCTGGCCAATGTGTTGGAGATTGACCTGGGCTTAGTGAAGGTATGGCTACATTTGAAGACCTCCTTTCCTTCACACTGGTTCAGCTTAGAACCTAACACCACCTGTCTTGTGTAAATGAACTCGACCCCTAATTGCCTGCTCATCCACATGACCAGCCCACATTTTCTTGTTACTTGATCTCCTTGAACATCCCACATGGTCACGAACCATGTGATGTCACAGATTTCATAGCCAACTGTGCTGTGGCCTCCTTGTCTTCCTGTTTTGGTTTTGACTGGTTTTGACTGTCAAACCTTTGGATGGGAACCTGTCTGTTGTGGCAGTTATGTCAACGTCCAGCTGTCAATGTGCTTCCTCCTCACTGATGAGTCTAGCCTGAGGCTATTGGAGTTTTTGACAGTTTTTAGAAGCTGTGGAGGACCTGATAAAATAATTTTACTTCCCCTGATCAAACCATCCTTAGGCCAAACATTTGACTTTTTTTCTTCGTAAACTTTTGTTTACACAATTTGTAGAGCCTTTTGCCATATCCATACTCTGGATGTTACTATTGTTGCCACAGCATAAAAAAACTGTGGTGTAACAGGAGAGGTTCTCCATCATCACTTCAATTTAACTGATGTTTCAGTTTGAACCAGTTTTCTTTTTACACACTGAGCCAAACCATCCTTCAGAGTCAGGACCTTCAGTGGAAAAATGCTCAACCTCTGTGTGCTTTGATGTCTTTTCATCAGAGCAGCACTTCAGCAGTTACAGTAAAGGCAGTGGTGACAGTGATTTTACAGGAGAAGCCCTGTAACCTCAGAAATGATTGACACATGTTGGTTTGCCTTTTCTGGTACCCCCCCCCCCGCACCTCTCCCCCCAAAAAAAACCTTGACTTGTAACTTCTTTCACTAAAGCTCTACTTTTCACTCTCCTCGTCAGCTTCTTTTATATGATAAGAGGACGGCTAAGAGTTGGCTTCAGTTCACACCTCTGGGGCATCTAGGTGTAAAAAGCAATCAAATCCACATTTCTTGAATGAGAAGGACTGAATAAAATATTTAACTGCAGGTCGAGTGACGGCATATGTAGCATTAATGGAAAAGCCAGCCAAGTGTTAAATAGAAAGAACACACATTTTCACTCCTACTCCTGGGACGTTTGATGTTTTGGTTTTGTTTTTTTTTTAAAGTAGGTGTTGTGGGTCATCAAGTGAGTGTAACCTTGTACTGAAGATTTTCATTAGTTTTCAGTCGGATTTCATTCATATCCATTGAAGTGGTGACATTGACCTGACAAATGTCCTTTAGTTTTTACTTCACATTATTAGTTGTAATGTTTTTCCGATGTATACATTATTTTTTCTTTTGTATATTTTATTATGTTTCTGTGCTGTTTTTTCAGAATGCAGTATCCATGTACTGTCGTCTTGGGTTTGCTGTCAAGAAAGGTCAGGTGATCAACTCTGATCAGCTTCATCCAACTTGGAAGAATGCTCCCTCTGTCAACAGGCTGAAGTAAGTGCATCCATTCAACAATTCCACCGAAATTTGCCAAAAACAACATGATCACACCTTTTATTTCCATAGTAAACACCACTGTAACATGTCTAAATTATGTAGAAGCACCATGGACCCTCAGAAGATGCTGTTGTCCTGGGAACAGGGCAGTCCAGTGATGGAGGGAGGCTCCTCTGCTACTGACACGGACACCACCAGTCTGGAAGACCAAGGTCCTGACACAGACACAAGCACTCACTATAATGTGATTCAGTCATTGGTGCCAGGGATTCCCAACCACTGAGAGATCATAAGCTGAGGAAAATTATCCAATCTCACTTAATTGGCCTGAAAACTATTTTTTTAGTTTTAGTTTTTTTTCAGGTGGTTTTTTTTTTTTACTATTAATTTTTCTTTGCTCCTCAAAGCATGAAAGGCAGAACAATTAAATACTCTTCCACTAGGTGGCAGCAGATGGCTATGAAAACTAAAAAAAAGATAATCAGAGCTGTTGAAGAAGATCTTTGTCAGTATCCTTCTTCAATTCCTGCCAGTGTATCAGTGTTGTCTTCAACTAAACAGCCCAAGATTTTAGTCAATAAACTAGAAGATCATTATATTTTATTACATATACTTTTGTGAGATTTTTGTTTGGCATGTGCTGTAGGGTTTTTCCTGATGATATAATGTATAAGTGCCGTGGCTCAAAAAAGGCTGGGAAACAATGATTTATGCTAATAGGCAGACGTGCTGATGAATGTTCATGAAGCACTTTGCGACACAACTTCATAAAACTGCAGCACTAATTAATCCCTGAGAAAGCTTTGTACATCTGAAAGTCATCTTCACATTACTGGTTGTTTGTTAAAGCTGTCAAATCTATTTTGATTTATTTATTTGTGTTTAACTTAAATATAACCGTTCTGCTCGTCATCCAAATGAATATGTAAATTTTAATTAGCTTTAATGGTTTAGAGGGAGACATAAAAACACATGTTATTTCATGGAATTCCAGCCCTGTATCCTCAGGTTACCAACCGTGCAGGTGTTATTTTATGTAGCAGTTACAGACACTTTTGTTTTGTTGTAAAAAAAAAAGATTTCTTATTGAAACAATCAAATAATATTTTATTTTGCTGATAATTGCGTCTTGATTCAAAAGTACTTAATATAATTGACATCATAATAATTTTGATTTAATTGTTGCTTATAAAGTTTTAACCTTTTATATACATTCTGTTACTTCTCCTCTGTTACCTGCAATTAGGACTACAATACACGTTACTGAAAAATATATCCAGTACAGTTTGTTGTAGTCATGCATCAAATTGTACTTAACAAAATGGCCTTATTTACGATTGGAAGACCCCCCTCCCCAACACACAATAACTTTCAAGACATGGTGTTGAAATTCTGCCACCCAGTGGTTATATTTCCCATTGGTAACCATTTACAACCCCTTGCTCTTCTAAAATAAATCATAAGAAAAAAACAGGTCATGTTGATATCACCACCATACTTTCTTTGTGGCCCTTTAAAAATGAGTAATAAGATTGAATTTTTGATAAAAAAAAAACAAAACAACTACCAAACTCGACGGTGGAACTCGTTCACTAGCCGTGCCATTAGAATGTGCATCAATCTCACTTCACACAGTAATTGTTGTTGTTGTGTAGCCGACACAGCCAGTGTCAGCAGCCTGAGCATCCCAGCTCCACCCACCAAGAGGATCGCCTTCCTCTTCGACTCTACCCTAACTGCCTTTCTCATGATGGGCAACTTGTCTCCGGTGAGTGGACGGATGTGGACTCGCATTGCCAGTTTGTTTACCTGCACACTTTCAAGGCTAAATTTCAAGGCTAAACACCAGGTGGAGAGAACGGGGTTGGTCTAACTGTTCACAGCACAGTTTTAATGACGTAGGTTCTCCTTGTTTTTGTGTTAGAACCTGAAGAGCCACGCGGTGACCATGTTCGAGGTGGGCAAGCTGTCAGACGAGACTCTGGATAGTTTTCTGGCTGAGCTGGAGAAGGTCAGACAACACAAACAACCAAAAAAATAGAATTATAGATTATTCATGTCCCTCATCTAAATCTCATTTTTATAGTCACCTGGCAAGAAAATTACAGGATGTCACGCCATCATAGAAAAATAACATTTTTATTTTGAAGTACACAAGCTTTATTATTCTAATGACAAACTGTTTCGTTAATTATCACCAATAATAAGATATTAGAGCCAAAAGCTTTAAATTAGTTGACTCAACAATCTCTTTAAGAATAAAGTCAGTGAGTGATCTGTTTAGGTTTTGTCTACACAAACAACAATATTACTGCTTCTTTAATCTTTAAATTGTCCCCAGAAAGGTACAAACTCACAGAAGAGCTCTGTTTTTTTTTTTTCAGGTGGAGAGCACAGCAGAGGGAGAGGCTCAGCGTTACTTTGACCACGCTTTGACCCTGAAAAACACCATCCTCTTCCTGCGCTACAACAAAGAACTCACTCAGGATCAGGGACCAGACATCCCAAACATAGGTATCCTAGTCCTAAACATCACACACACTGAGTATTTACTTACTTACTACGTTGTTTTCCTATTTACCAATTCAGTTACCTAAAACTTTTCTGAAATCTGCTTGTAACAGCACCAGATACAAAGCTCCATCTTTGTGTCTGGAGCATCCTACCTGTGTTTTCTTATCTTCTATTTGGATCAGCATTTTGCATATGCCTTTAGAGGCGTATTATGAATCTATATTAGGGCTGCAGTGTTCTACTCAGGTCCCAAGAGGGCGCAGCAGAGAGTGAATTTTCCCACAACAACAAGGCAAATTCCTGAGTCTCCACAAAGCTACCATGGTGCCACCAGATGCTGTTTGTTTGGTTTGGCTGTGTGCCTTCTTTCTGATTATCTCATCTCTGAGTCCTCGTTGGCCGCAGCTCCAGACTTCTGCCGAGCAGTGAACACAGAGCCGAAGCTGAAATCAAACCACAGTCAAGATTTTTGCACAATTAGGAAAATGTATCTTGCAAACAAAAAGATATTTCATAAACACCTGCTGCACCATTTTGGAGAAATGTGGGTATTGTTATATGAAACAAAACACAGTTGTTGTTTTTCTTACTTCCAGCATAGTCAGATATCAGGAAGTTTACACTGTACACTGTAGATGTGAAGATAAAGCAGTTTTAAAGGACAGTTCCTCTCACTGTTGTGCAATAGGTAAAGTCATCAATGTTTTGTTCTCCTCTTGGTAGATTTAGCCACTTGTTAAGCTTAGAGAGAGAGAGAGAGAGACATTTCTATTTTTGCCCCCCTTTAAAACAATGATAAATATAAGAAGTCATTACATTACATGTATGTGGTATGTATGGAATCAACCATATTTACAGTAAGTTGGTAGGTTGTTGGTAGATGTTTTGCCGAATACTTTTAACGTCTCCTCAGTGAGGGTTTTTCAGACTGGAGCAGCTGAAAGAAAAGATAATATTTCAACCAGACATCTTCCTCCCAGACTTCTTCACCTGTGTCACAGTGACGGAGGAATACTGTCTGCAAACATCCAACTGACTCTGCCACGTCCTTCCTGTTTTAATAGGTTTCCCTTTGGACATGTTGCGCTGTGAGAGCCTGCTGGGTCTGGACCAAGCCACCTGCAGCCGGGTCCTCAACAAGAACTACAAGCTGCTGGTGTCGATGGCTCCGCTCAGCAATGAGATCAGACCCATCAGCAGCTGCACGCCTCAGGTAGGATGACCCCCGCAGCGAAGAGGTGGAGTGTGGTGAAACATTTAATGAAATGATGTGTGTGTGTGTGTGTGTGGGCAGAAGTGTGTGTTTTTACCAGCTGTTGGTGCGGTTGTGTTCTGGTGCCTCCAAGTGCTCTGTTTACACACAGGAGTGTGTTCTTTGTGTGCTCTGTGATCAGTTGCCTCAACAACAGTACTGCTCAAAGAGAGGGTAAAGGAGGGAGGGCAGGAGGGAGACGGAGGAGTGATGAGGCTTATGAGTAATTCTCCATCCTGGACAGACGCCAGAGTTCTAGCTGAGCTCAAATAGAGACGAAGGAAAAGAAGTTAAACTCTTGTTGTGACATTCATGCTACTGTTCATTCTCACACTGCTGGGAACTGGTGAAGTGAAAAAAAAGAACAACTTTTTTCCTTCTCCCTCGTCATGCATACTAAACCAATGTTCTCTCTTTCTATCCTTTTGTAGTGTGCTACAAATAATAAAAACATTGTGTCAGTGGCCACATTATTAGGTAGCTCTTGTCACAATAGATTTGATTCTATTATTTATTCTTACTGGTGCTAAATGTTAATGATTCAACAAGTGAGAAACTATAACATTATAGCTGCTGTGGTTGGTGTGTACATCACCCAGCTGAGCTGTCGATACCAGGGAGGGTGAATCCCAGCTATTTTTGTGAATTCTGACCTAAACCACGTTAATGTTGCTGCAGAAATTAAGACTAAATATTCCAGTCAAAGTCACTGTTATGTACCTGGTTTTGGTTGTCCTGAGTCAAAGTATTCTGTTCTTGGCTGAAAGTAACCTCGTTCTGTGTTGTGTTGAACACATGTACTTAATAGACTGAGTGTAATGGAACTGCTCCTTTCTCCACCAACTCACTCAGTGTGAGTGTATGCTTGTGTGTGTGTCTCCCTGCAGCACATTGGTCCGGCCATCCCTGAGGTGAGCTCCATCTGGTTCAAGCTGTACTTGTACCATGTGACCGGCCAAGGCCCGCCCTCTCTGCTCCTCTCCAAAGGCTCAAGGCTCAGAAAACTACCAGACATATTCCAGGTTAGTGTTCACTTATGATGATGTAGGATTTTATAGATGCAGTATGAGAGAGTACATTTAGGCAGTAGCAAGAAAAAAAGGAGACAAAAGCTCCTCCTTTTTGGAAAAAGCCAGACATGTGATGAGGAGGATTTTTAAATTACTTTTTCTTCATCCCTTTTGTCCTGTAAAATTCTGAACCTGCTGTGTCACAATGAAGAACAAGGCTTTTCTGTGTCACCTTCATTTCTCTACAAAGCTCTGAGGACAGAGATTCATCAGCGGCACAGTCGTACTGTACTACAGTTTCCCCCTCCAAGGCTTTTCAGTGGTCCTGCTTTTTTTTTTTAATCTATCCTAAGAATATCAGACGGGGAACAAAAGACTTTTTGATGCAGCACATTCCAAAAGTAGGACTGGTACCTTCATGAAAATGGGTCACTGTACAGAGCACAGTGTTTAATTGTACCAAATTAAAAATGTAAATCTACATATAGGTGACATCCCCATAGAGAAGCTACTGTAACACAACAGTCCACTCACTGACTCATCAACAAGTGGGTGTGACTGTGTCCATTTAAACATGTCTGCTTTAAAACATCTGTCTACAGGTCTATGACAGGCTGCTGATCACTTCCTGGGGTCACGACCCAGGTGTTGTCCCCACATCCAATGTGCTTACCATGCTCAATGATGCCCTCACACACTCTGCTGTTCTCATACAGGTAACACACACTACTAGACAAATACATTTTTGTCCATTTTCTCCCCTGTAGACATATATGAATGACTATATATTCCACAATAGTATACATAATGTGTGTTTGTGTGTGTGCAGGGCCATGGTATGTATGGTCATGGAGAAACAGTCCACATTCCTTTCCCATTTGATGAGGAGGATCTGAAGGGAGGTATGATGTTCAAAAGTTATAATGTTTATGGACTTTAAAAATAAAAAAAAAGTCATTCATTGTAACGACACAGTAGTAGGTCGTGTTGTTTGTGTCTCTAATCAACTTAATTTAAATCCTTAGCATTTTCCTCATAGCGTAGCGTCATCATTCTTGTTCTTCTTCTTCTTCTGTCCTGTGCAGAGTTCTCTTACTCCAACATGTGTGTACACAAGGCCCTGCAGAAGCTGAAGAAACATGTGGACCTGGAGCATCAGTGCGGCTACATCACCATGCTCAACTCCAACAACAGGCACCGTCGCAGGGCGAGCGACAGTGCCGAGTGCAGAGGTGAGAGAGGTGAAAGACAAATGCCTCGTCTGTGTTTCTGTGTGAGCATTTTTAAAAAGGTGAATTAGTGTGTGTCAGATTGGACAGATGAGCTGCACCGTCCACTTTGATTATGCCGTTTGTCTGCATAATTATGTCTCTAACTGTGATAGCTTTGTCTAATGAACATGGATCCAACACCTGTCACCTGAAGACTTTACCTTCAGATTAAACCGATTTCATTTCATTTTTTATCCTGATAAACAGACACATTCACATTACAATGTTTGTTGAACTGGATCAAAGCTGTCTGTGTAGCATTTAATGACTCCTGTGAATTAGAGGCCTTTCTGGTTTTAATCAAATGTTGATGGAGAATTGTTGCCCTTTCTCTAGGAGACACTCATTTAGGTGGAGGCCTGGACACCAATGGCAGCACTGAGTCTTTTGAGCTTGTGACAGAAGAGAACAATGGAGATGGCAAAGGAAAAACAGACAGTACGTTAGTTGGTCTTTATCTTTTCATTCATTTATTCAGGAGTTTTAGGAAACCTCAACAGATGTTGGAGATCTGAACTTCAGATTAGATTAATCACAGGGTAGCTGTGGATTAATTATGATTAATTGATTTTTAATGTATATTTGTGAAACAGAATGATGAAAAATAGCAGGTAGAAGTGTTTGTGAGTAAATTAATAATATTATGTTTTATTATTATCATTATAATTTAACAGCCCTCTCGTCTGAGGATGAGTGGGTCCCTCTGGAGCTGTGCTTCGGCATGCCGCTCTTCAGCTCAGAGCTCAACCGCAAAGTGTGTCGAAAGATAGCCTCACACAAACTCTGCAGCAATGAAAGGTAAAGAAAAATGCCGAAAAAAGTGTCCACCTTCCTCCTGGACACAAGTGTAAAATGACACTAAACCTGTTCAAGCTGCACTTGACCTCTGGCTTCGTTGTTCCCTCAGCCTTCAGGAACTGCTTCTGTCCAGCCGAAAGTTAGCGCTGAAGGTGCTGAGCTTTGTCCAGTCATTCCAGGTAACGACACACTCCAGTCTCAGGTCTCACTAAAGAGTAAACACTGAGAAAAACAAAAGAATTCAATGTTAACCCCAGGAGCCAGGTAACGACACTAATTATACACCCAGACTTTGATTGAGGAATAACTGGTGGATTTGCATTCAACTATGTGATGTAGTAGCTCGTTAATTGTGTTGAGAATTAAAGCCAAGCTAATCAGACATTTAAAAAGTCTTTTTAACTTTACCTTAACCCTTTTTTTTTTACTTTTAAAAAGCTAATCATAATCCAGGTGAGACTCTCTATGGCCTGTTATGTTTTACTTTTTGTCTTTAGGTCCAGACCAGATGTGTTTTGAATGTTGATGCACAAAATGTGTGTCATTCAAACTAACTTCCTGGTTCAAATAAATCTCTAAAGTCTACCTTTGTCACCGTTGCCCCCTGTCTTGGTACCGAGCCTCAGTTCTGACCCTAAGTCTGAATAGTCCATGATTCAGACAGGGACCATGTTAACAGTCTTATTTTTACCCCCTCTGTTCTCCTCACCCTCTCTACCTGATGTGCTGGTGTGTGACCTTCACCCCTGCGATGACAGGACGGCAGCCAGTCCTTCGACGCAGACAGTGGCGTGTCAAACCCTCTCAGTCAGCCCCCAGCTGAGTCCGGTGTCCCCCTGCCGGCCCTCAATCTCTTCTTCAAGGACGGTCAACTTCAGGAGTGGAGTGGGCGGGCCCCACCTCCTCTGAACATCTCGGCCCTGCAGAAGGACCAGCCCACATAGACCAGTCTTCACTGCTCCTCTTCCACATGCGGACACGAGGTAAAACAATGTTCGTCCTTTGTGTCACTGAGGAAATTCCTACATGCCCAAGGTTCAACCCTGCACTTCCATATCTGACCACCAGGAAGCACTCAGTCATACACACTGTCCTCCTGTCCACCAGTAACCAGTCATCGGGGAGTGATGAGCCTAGCCAGCACTTTTGTCATTTACCACCTGTATGAAGAAACCCCTGCTCCCCGGCCCCTTCCTCCACTGCTGTTTCCCTCAGATTTGTAGGCAGTGTTTTCAGTTGGAGAGGTGCTATGATCACAGTGTGTTACAACGGTGCAGGTAAACAGCGTATAACCAGGACGACCATTTCAGTGGAAACACGAAGGCTGTTTTCCTCTCCACCTCCTCCACCTCTTCCCTGCCTTTAACCACTGGATGTTTTGTGATCCCTCAGAGCGGAGTGTAAAGTCATCTGTATTGTATAGATGTTTTTCAAAATGATCCTCAAAATTTAAAAGAAAAAAAAAAGGAAGATGTTGAAGCGACTTCTTCAGGAATCATTTAACAATCTGCATATTTTAATTACAAGTCTTTTGGACTTGTCAGAGAGAGGAGAGTCTCCGCCTCCCCCGTTTAGTGTCTCATGTTTATAGTGATTTGTTGCATGACACTGTTGCACAACTTGTACCATTAAAAAAAAAATCCCTTTTCTCTTTACTTGTTACAAAATTCGGGGCATTTTTATTTGCACTTTACAGGATTTCACCCAACCGGAGTATGAAGTGATGTGATTTAGTTTTTCTCTTCTTTTGGATATTACATTCTGTATGATTTTAGATTTCCTTTATATTTGCAAAAAGGAAGTGTTTCCTGTCTCCGTAGATCAGAGGATTGAGAAAGGCTCAAGATCATAACCGGTTATTTTACCCTTTCTCAGTGCAAAAGGAAACACCAAAGAATGTTCTTTTTCATGTCAGGAAATTACTTCTGTTCTTTTGTCATTCTTTTTGATTTTGTGCCTTGTTATTGTCAGCCAATCAAAAGTCAGGTCTTAAATCGAACCATCTGCTTTCCTTTGTTCTTGATTATTTTCAAATGTAAGGTTTACATCATTTGAAATGATTCATGTGCTTTGACTGATGGTGTTTTAAAGCCAATATTGGGACACAAACTAGCAACCTTTGTCTCTGCTGAAGACTTAGGTGAGGACATTTAAAGGCACAGGTCAGAAATAGTCTGGTTTACAAACAGTTTCCAAGGGATTCTGTGTACGTTGTGGTTTTGTTTTCCAGAGTTTGTAATGCAGAAGACAACATTGCTGTGAAGGCTTTAACACACCCGCACACTCACATGTTTATTCCCAGACACGTTTTGGTCCAAAAACACTACCTTCAGCCTGTCAAGAGTTTTGAGCTCAGCTTCAATGTGACATTTTACCCTGAGTGTTAACAAGTTGTGATGTTGACCAGTTATTTTTTTACCAGCCTCCTACAGACCTTGATTCATCTGTGGTTGTTGTTTCCAATAACGTGGTGATGACATAGAGAAAAAACCAACAGTTGCCATAAGGTCCTGTTGTAGCATGATGACTGTGTAGAAACTGTTGTGTGTGTGTGTGTGTCTGTTGTGTATGTGTGTGTATCATGTGACCTCATACACACCCACCTGTCACAACAGGAGTTCCCTCCCAGTCCTGCCTGGTTGTTTAGTTATTCGTCATCCCAGATATTCCCACTGCTCCCAGGTATGTTCACCAGTACATTCACCAGAGTATTACAAATGGCTAGTTTTATATGTCGGTCTATATTTTAGAGAATCTTAGTTGTAGCGTGTTTGACGAGATGAGTAAATGCTTTAAAAAAAAAGAAAAGAAAAAAAACCAACAACATTCCCTCAATATGTTCCTTCTTTTCCTCTCTGCTCCAAATACTTGGTATTATTACAAAATAAAAATGTAAAAAGTATATGAAAATATAAATAAATATGTAATGGGAGGAAACTCTTTCTTTTCTCTGCAAAATTGTCTCCTTGAACTATTTTCTTTCTTTGCACTTTTCTGAACTGTTATTAGGTGTTTTCCAAGCCAGATGGAACAGATGGACAGAGCAGCACACAGTGGACCGGATGCTCCCACCGTCTGTCTCAAGTACGACTAGAGTAGACGGAAATTTACAGCCAGCAGAAAAACAATGTCTGATTTAAGACTGCAGATGCTTTTGTGGAGCTTCAACGGAGCTCAGATTTTTGGAGGAGGATAAAGGTGCCAGTCGGCGGCCACTCGTGGGCCTCCACCTGACAGTTGGAGTCCTGCCTAATTGTGAATGTCTCCCAGGTCTCCCTGCTCCAGTAATTTCCCAGCACTTCAAATTACACCATGTCACGCGGGGACATTGGGGCCACAAACTAGGTCAGACCACCTGAGGATGAGGAGCAGTCATCGTTTTCACACACACACACACACACAATACTCTCTCCCTCACTGTATGTCATACATAACAATTTGAACACGCAATATTCCTATTTGAAAAAATGTAAATGACTCCTATCATTTGCATTCCCAAAAGGCTGCAGGGCCTTAGGTTGAGTTAAAAGACGCAGAGGAAAAACTGGGCACTCGCACGTTAGAATTATTCGCATAATCTCGTGCAAAAGCTAATAAAAGTCCAGTGACTGGTGAAATGATATTGGCCAACTGCTCGTTTCAGTCCACAACATTAACCAGGGAATTCATGTTCCTCCTAAAGGCTGCGACGCGCCCACCTGGCTTTATAACAAGAAGTGTCAAACAAAGGAGAGTACCAATGACCATGTAGACTACTGTATCTGGATAACCTGTCCTAATCTTATATATAAAGATATATTGTCTGTAATCACATTAACAGGTGGCCTTGAAAAACAGCCCGCTGTTGAACGCTGTCATTCATCTATGTTGCCTGCAGGGGCATTCAATTGTGAGTTTGTTTTATTTTTTGCTCTACTTCAGTCTTGGCTCATGTGATGAAATGTAACTTAAACTCTGTAACTAACATTGAATCTCACTAACTCTAACTAAACATTCATCTGAAATCACAGCATACGTGGTCCTGTTGGCCTCTTCGTCATCCCTCGTCCTGATGGGAGCTGCTCCTTGACTAAATCTGCTGAGTCCACAGCTGCGGCCCTCCTCGCTGTCTAAACAACACAAGCAGATAAGTAAGTTACTGCCTCTGTTCCGACACGTCCTCTATCAGTTCAACTGCACTGTGCTTGACTTTGCAGCTTTTATCAGTCCTCCTTGTGGATACCCAGCTGAGTGCCAGGGTTAAAACCCCCCGAGCTCATCTGCCCCTCTAACAGGGTTCACTCTTTTCCACGGGCATTTTTTCTCTTTTACAGCCTGTCCAACGTGTGCATCCCTCAGCATCCCTGATACTTTCCTGCTCGCTACCATTAAAATTTGTGGGTGAGGCGTTTCCACTCCAAAGCTGTGGCAGCGTGTGCCATTTTTGGGGGTGTACTAAATACATGCCTCCCCTGCCTGTGGGATGTAGTAATAGTGAGAAAGTAACGGATAGCCAGTCTGGACAGGCCACAAGCCACCACAAAACATAATGACGACATAATGGTCCCAGCGGGAGAAGGACAGGGAGCAAATGACTGCACACTTTTAGTTCCATCAAGGACAGACGGTGGTGAAAATAGTCAAATATACACAGATGTTGGGACGCTCATCGTCCTACACACAAATGTGACACATATTCACTTATAACGCCAGCATGCAGCTCTGTTGGTTGGTTACAAAAATAAATTACTATGAGTAATGAACACCTAAATATAACTGTGATAAAATACAAACATAGACATGTAAATGTAAATATTCACAATTATGTAACAGTCCTTTAAATAGTCAGGATAAAAACTCTGTGACCTAATGCTGTGTTTGATGCCCACAGCAAGTGTTTAATATATACAAAAAAAGCTAACGTTAGCTAGAATTTATCTAAAGAAAAGACATTTAAGTAGAAGTTTAAACCAACCCTCAAGGTTCAACACAAATAGTGAAATATTAATGAATATGTCCTATAAAATACAATAATTCACAGCATGAAAACTTTTTAAATTGTATTTAATTGTTGTTGGTACGTATGCTAACTATTTCCTTTTTTACTCATAGAGACTCTTCTACACTTCTACTGTACGTCTGACCCAGAACCACTTGTCACGAGCCAATCACGACCCGCCATTTGACAAATGTTTATGAAGAGAGATGGACAGATACAGGCACGTCGACGGACGGTTAAAGGGGCGGATGTGAAAATTACGTACACTTCCGCTTATGGAGAATCATCGAGCTACAGCCTGACGGAGCGGTGCAGCTACACGGTGAGTGTTTCTGTGTGTGTGAGTGAGAGTGAGTGAGAGAGAGAGAGAGAGAGAAGGGGGGGAGGAAGGTTAGGAGGGAGAAAGAGGGGGAGAGTGTGTGCGAGTGACACCGTGTCGGTCTGCGGTGGAGACTAACAGCTAGGCTTCGTCACGTGAGGAAATATTTCAATTCGAACTTTCTTTCTTTGTTTTTATTCAACGTGGACTTTAAGCGGGGAAACTTGTGGTCTCCGAGTGTATTTGTTTGTTTGCTCTCCCTTCCCTGTGTCCACTTGTTGATGCTTGGTTAGCTCGCCGGAATATTTTGGTGCGTAATTTGGATGAAACCCGCGGCGCCATAGCGCATTGGAGGAAGTTGTGAGCATCATTGAGGTGTGTGCGACCGCGCGTGTTTTTCGTCTTCTTTGGTGACTGATGGTGTTGAGGTTAGGCCAACCGTGAGAAGTCTCCAGGTGAGCAGCGGTATGGGGAACCAGATGGACAGGCTATCGCATTTAAGTTACGCAGAAGTTCCCACGGTGGACCCGAACGGCGTAGACTCGGATCGAATCGGCGTCTCTTATATATTTTCCAGCGACGACGACGAGCTGCAGGACGGCTGCGCCGTGGATGGAGCGGTGATCGAACCGAACCAGGAAGAGAAACCGTTCGACCAGCGCGACGAGGTGTCGTGCGCCGTCTATCACAAAGACGAATGCATCTACGAGAAGA